TCTAGATCTAGATCCCTGTCAATCGCGATTTTTGGTGAGATTTTGACTGGCCCACATACTGGGGTGGCCCGCTTACTGGTGAAACACGTTAAGTAGATATATTTATTAAAAGCTTCTATTATTTTTTTTAAGTATAGATAGATCTTACTTTTTAACTCTAATAACTACTTACTTTTAAGTCTCTATATAGGTTTTAGATTTTTTTAATATCTTTTATATTATTTATAAGTACTTTAAAATATACTTAAATATTTTAATATTTAGTATTAGTTTACTAAACTTTCTAATTAAATTTATAACTATAAGATTAATCTTTAAAGTAATAATTTTTAACTACTAATTTAGTCTTTATACTTTTTCTAGTATAGTCTTTAGCTAGTAGACTTTAGTATATTTCTCTATATAAATCTTTCTTTAAGTATCTTTATACCTTTTTAAGTTTATACTATACTTACTAATAAGTAGTTAGTAATTATTATATTTAAGTTTTTCTCTTATTTATACTACTCTTAGAAAAAGTTATAAATTTTTAAAAATATGAAGCTTATAAGATTATTAAATTTTAGATAATCTTTCTCTAGTATTAAGTATATTACTTTCTCTATATCTTCTTAAATAAGACATTAAAAGAATAATACTCTCTTTTTTTAAGTAGTTATCTAGTTTTAGCTTTAAGCTAATATAAAGTAGAGTATATAGTTTTAATAGTACTCTAAAATCTTTATAGCTAGCTATTACTAGTAGATCTTACTAACGTAGTTCTTAATAAAGGCTTAAGTATCTCTATTTCTATTTTTATTATAACTTAAGTAAAGCCTCATTAGCTTTACTTAAAAATAATGAGACTATAATACTTTTAGATCTAAGTAGCTAGAAAGCCTTTATATAAAAGCCTTTTAGCGCTATTTATAAAAGTATAGTGGCTATTTCTTATAAATATATTCTAGCTATAATATCTAATTATATTTAAAGTTACGTTCTTTAAGAAAGTTAGTAATATTTAATCTATTAAACCTTAGTATATTAGTATCTATAGGCTTAAATCTTTCTTAGTATTCTATTAAACGACTTATTATA